AAGACACTTGTTTTCTCTAAAAAAAAGGGTTCCTAGGGTTTTTCTCTAACAAAAACCCCATTTTTTTCCAAACATACATTTTTGGGGAAAAAAGTGCCAATACGCTACATGTACTCTGGTAAATTAAACAGCACAAAGATAGAGTCAATCACTTGCATTCAGTTGCCCACATTGTAACTGTTAAATAATTAAAATGGTCCCAGACATGCTTTTAGCTTGTGCCAACAAGCCGTATCCCAGACAGCTCCCAGGCAGGGGATCTTTCCTAAAAGGTAGCACTGGTGCAACTTCCCTGATGTTTTGGAGGCTAAGCAGGTTAATAACATGGCCATGGCCAAGCCTTGGCCATTGCCCTCAGGGTCGGGGAATGAGCCTGAGGTTGCTGGGATAGAGGTTGCCATACCAGGACTCCCCTCTCAAAATCCATGACTTGCCTCAGTCTTTAAGATTTTTGGAGTTGCAGTCCATCCCTGAAACTCAGGGAAAGCAAAAACTCACCACCTCAAGCCCCTCACGCTTTTTCTTGAAGAGCACAGACAATGCACCACTCTAGACCAAGAGAGAGCTATTGAGCACAGGAGATGAGAGTGTTTTACTGCTATTGCCTGAAACCTCCTTGTACAGTGTGACCTCATGCCAAAATGAGGATGCTCTTGTGCTATCACTTTGGTCTGATGATCAGCAAATGTGGATTTGGTGCTTTAGGCTTGGGCTCAGAGACTTGTAATCTGTTTTTCACCCCGGTTTTGATAGCATCTCTGTCTTACTGACTACAGGGACCTACCACAAGTGGTAAGTACAACTGGGAACTAGCAAGCTGCAGATCTGGTTGTGTACTCCAGGGCCTGGTAGAGCACAACAGAAGGATTTCTTCCAGAGCAATTTTTAATTCTTTGCTCATCAGAAACTAACGAAAGCCAAGCAACATCTTTTTACTGAGATTAGATAAATCCAAGAGACTGCTCTGTTAGGAAATTCTTCCTGTCACCCACCTATCTTTCTTCTCTCTGCTCAACCTCTGCCAATTGCTCCTAGTCATGCTTTGTTGTATTAATCCTAAACTATTCCCTTTTTATTGCAAACACTCTGCGAATACATCTGGACAAAATTCACCCTTTCTTCTTCTCTCTCCACCCGCTCATCCTCTGGTCATGCTGTGGATATTTTATTAATTGACTTTCATCCTTAATGCCCTCCAGCTCCTTTCATTCCCCACCCTGTTCCTCTACCAGGTCCATTTTGGAGTTCTGTCCGTGTGACCGAAGCCTCCCTGACTCATCGCTTTTACTTGGCTGCATGCTGACAGTCTTTCAACTTAACATGATGGTGATTTGGCTGGTAGGAGCTACTCAGGAGAGAGGATCTGGAAGCAGCACAAGAGGATGCTCTCGGTCTCTCAGGTTACTCTTTTAAGTACGTAGTCGAGAGGACAGGCTACCAGCTGGCCTCTGCTACTCGGACCGCCAAGTATCTTTGATGTAAATTGACTCCCAGCTTGTGTAGATGAAGAATAAAGAAGGGAAAGAAAGATGACTTGCTTGAAAGAAAAGATTGATTGAGAAGTGCCTGGTCATTGATATGACTAATCTAAACCCTTAAGCAATTTACTGGGGAAGACAAAGTTTAGGTCAGGGCTCAAACTTTTCCAGAGTTCAACAGCAACGGTGCAGATGAACTCCTATTTGTACTCACTCCTTAACCACCTTTTGACGCAAGGAGGAATGAGGTGTACTGAATACATTAGCTATCGTGAATTATTAATATGTACATTGTAGCAGTATCCAAAAGGACTCAAATCAAACTACAGGCAATGTGGTGAGAAGCTCCATCCACCTGCACAGCATTGACCCAAAGAGCTGGTAGTCCATATAATCAAAGTAAACACAGACTAGAAAGCGAATTGATTTGCCTAAGAACTCATGGTTAACTGGTCCAGAAAGACATCTAGCACAGTTGTATTTTGTTTTCTATCCAGTACCCTTTTTGTTAAATCAGAATGATTCCCAACTCTTAATTTATTGCAGACTTTTGTTTTCATTATGAGAAAGAGTAATCACACGCAAAGCCTGTAGGTAGCTGAAAGTCTTATAGTTTTCCCTTTCAATGGAACATGTGATTTTTTTTTTTCCTATTTGGGAATAGCTGGGGTTTTTTTCTTCCTTCTTCTACAACATGAATTATAAGACAGATGTGAATTATTAACTGCCCTCTGACAGAGCACTTCAGGATTTCTGTCTGGGTACTACTAACCTGAAACAGCAAAAAATGGATAATGGTTCAGGCTTGCACTTCAAAAAGAAAGTGAAATGTTGAGCAGGGCACTGGGAATGGAAGATGAGCATGGGAAGAAAAGCAGGCGTGGTGTTTAGGTCACTAAAAGCCTTTTCCACTCCCTTTCTTTTATTGCCAGGAATTCACAGGTGTCCTCCCTGGGTAACAAAAGTGGTGGTAGTACTTGGCTGAGCAGTATTTCTCCACTGGATCCCTTTAGCTGTGAGCTGCTCAAAGGCAGGAACAAGTCCAGCTTGGGGAGGCAAGTGCAACAGGAGAAGTGAGCTGGGACAGCACTTGGGAGCTGTATGACCATCAAAGCTGGCTGTATCCCAGGACTGCGTTATTACAAAGGTGGGATATGAGGCAGTGCCAGTAGGAGGCTGAACTCTCCAAAACCATTTTCAATCCCTCCAGAAATTAAAAAAGTGGCATTCTGTTGCAAACGTATAGTAGACGTGATTTACTGGGAGTGTGAAGAGATACCCTACATTGTAAGACGTGGTTACATCCACACAGATAGACAGATCTTCTCCAACAAAACCATGTCTCATCCACTCATAGAGTGTGTAAGCACTCAGACACAGACCTGTGGCTCCACCTCTTCTGCTAAGCTAACTGGTATTGTGGCCTGCCCTCTGGTCTTGAGGCTAGCTGGCATGGCCTGGCCATATCCGTACGATCAAACTCCTGCAACCTCCAAAACAGCATGGGGACATCTAAACTGCCCTACTGGAAACCATTCCTTGGGTTGTCTTGACCTCTAAATTGTACTCACAGATTGCTTGGGCACGGGATATCTGTCCTGGGCCACCATCGTGCCAGGGACCATTATGAGCCTTTAACAGTGGCAAACAGCTGGAACTGGAATGGGTTCAAAAATAAGTCAAAAAGAGAGACAGACTGCACTTACATATATATGTTTATGGACAGATGTGCAAACACTACCTGTGCTTGCATAAGTCTTGTTTTCTCTAAAACCAGTGTAGAAGACAGGTAGGGGAAAATCATCCTTCAATTTAGGATTGAGACACCTAAATGCCTATTGATATTTAAATATGCATTGGGTGACCATTACAGCCATTAACATCATAGTAAGTACAGTCAGTAGAAGCCCAAAGGACAGTTCAGCTGACCAACCCTTAAGAGAAAGATCAGAGAAACAGAGGCATCTAGTGCTTCTTAAAATGTCCCAGCAATCAAAAACTTTGGTGTGAGATGCCAGATCTGACAGTGTCTCCAGGAGATCCTTGCCCTTCTGCCACGGGGTGACAAGCCAAGGGAAATATCATAGGGCATTTTAGTGGCACTAAACATCTCTCCATGGGCAATCGAATCAAGGACACAGGTTCCATCAGCTGTAATGGGACACATTGCCAGTGCCTACATGGTGACCACACATATTTTTCAGGACAATATCTAAGTTTATATGTCTTCAACCCAATTTGAATTCTTCATCTTGAATTTCTGGCTCACCTACCTTATCACTCTCTACAACTACCCGAAAGGAGGTTGTAGCGAGGTGGGGGTCAGACTCTTCTCCCACGTAATAAGTGATAGAATGAGAGGAAACAGTCTCAGGTTGCACCAGAGAAGGTTTAGATTGGATATTAAGAAAAATTTCTTCATTGAAAAGGTTATCAAGCACTGGAACAGGCTGCCTAGGAAGTGGTTGAGTCACCATCCCTGGAGGTATTTAAAAGACGTGTAGATGTGGCGCTTAGGGACATGGTTTAGTGGGCATGGTGGTGTTGGGTTGACGGTTGGACTCGATGAGCTTAGAGGTCTTTTCCAACCTTAATGATTCTATGATTCTATGATTCTATGATTCTAAGCTCTGAGAGCTACATCACAGATTCACTGTAGTCCCTTTCACCCATAAAGTAATTTGTTCATTTATGCTTTGGGTTCCTGTATCATGATTAAGACAACAAACAAATGGGTTTTCATTTCCATCTATAAACAGTGGTATTATCACAAGTGCCCACTGAAATCAAGTGAAAACTGGCAACTTAACTCTGGAAAAGCGATTACCTAGTTGCCAAAAAAGTTCTGCCACTCACAATACCAAAAGTTTATTCTTGAGTCTCACATCTCCCTTGTACAATGATCTGATACCATCATGTTGATGGGAAACCATAACTATATAGACTGAAACAGGTTGCTTAGGTTGTGAGTCTGGGTCAGTCTTAATAAGGTTTGATGATCTGAATTGACTAAATTCACCTCCTAGCAAGCAAAGAACAGCAAAATGAAAGACCAGAAAGTCCTGATGAGGTGGGTAAGAAAGGCATGGCTCCAACAGAGTGGCAGAAACATACCTACTGGAAAGTTTTCTTTTAATGAAATACATTATGAAATTATTGTATTTTCTATACAATATGGCTGTTCATGGCATGAGAGCTGGGTCAATGAAATCATAAAATGTTGACTTCAGTTTTAGTAGAAAACATAATACGTGAATCTGATAGTTTATGAAACTAACACAGCAATGAAATCAGACGGTAAAGTTTTTCTGCCTAAGACATGAAAAGCTGCCCTATTCATGACCATTTATTCTTTGGGAGCATTTGGGGAAATCTCTCACAATGAGCATAAAAGGAAACACTCTCAGAACTTGACTTAAAATCTAATTAAATTCAAACTCTTTTTTTTTTTTTTAAAGACTACGTCTTATTATCAGCTGAGCTGTTTCTCTCATGATCTGGAAGTATTTTACAGGTCAGCATTTAGAAAATCTTGGCAAAGTTTGCAATTCGCCCACTAAATCTCTGACTGTCTGGGGCTTGGCCATTGATCTCACTTTGAACATCAGTGCCCACCTTGAGCTGGATTCTTAGTTCTACAAAGGCCAGTTTATATCCCCCTGGTAATTTAAAGAGTGACAAAATAGCAATACACCACAGCCTCTGCTAAAAGGCCCACTTAACACTGCCAGAATTGCCTCTGGACAGGAATCAAGACTACAGATAGGATACCAAGGTAAGAAAGATAAGCAGCTTGCTGAGAACATCAGAAAGAAATTGAACTTGGGCAGGCCATATCTAAATTAGTAAATAAAATAAACCAAAGACTGTCCTCTGGCCTGGAGGCCAACTAGTATGCATAATTCTCATAGCTGTCCCTACAGCTGTGTTCTCCTCTCTGAAACATGATGATTGCATCCAAATGGCCAATTGGGAATGGTTCCTCTGCTATCTCTTAAACCATGCCTGAGAACTATCTGGGAAAGAACAAGTAGCTAGAACAAAACCAGTGCCAGAGACCACGTGGACAACAACACGGACTAATGTATGCCAGTGCTCAGGCTTTTGACCTAGTTTAGGACCCAGCAGAGAGGCAGGGCCTTGGGACTGTGTCCAGATCCAGCAGCTCTCTCAATATAAAACATAGCAAACAACATCCATGCTGAATTTTCAGAAGTGGAATGGTTACTTACAAATGAAGAGACATACGGTGGAAAACAAGGTCGCTTCCACAAACACTGCCACCAGAAGCTTGACTGAAGTTGGCAATGGCTGTGCAAGATACTGCAAGAATATCTGTGGAAGGGAGGAGATGACTTCCTTTCTGCCCCGTGACAGAGCCGTCGAGATCCTCAAGGATGGCAGAGTGAGGAAAGGGGAAGGACACTTGGAAGGGTGAGTTGATGAAGGTCAGACGTTCAGCACTCACTATAAAGCCACCTGGGGGGAACAAACAGCATTTCAGAAATAAAGACTGACCTCTTCAAGTAATAGGCCTAAAGACATCTTTGGAGAAAAAGAGATTTCACCTTTGCTTTGGAAAACTGTCTGCTGAGTCAACAAGAAGAGGAGATTCAGGAAAATAAATAAATAACTAGAGATGGTTGTAGGAATTGCCATTGCCGTGCTATGGCCTGGTCCAACCTGTCCAGAGGCCTGTTGTGACAAGACTTCTGGTTACGGACTCCTCTGATCCAGGTGCTGCTCCCGGCCCTACCAACACCTCCTCAGTGACTCCAAGCGCTTCTTCACAAGTCCCACTGCCAAAAGTTACAGTCCCCAAAACAGTAATTCTTGTAGATCCTTTCTGCCTTGTTTACAAGATAAATTCTTTAGAGATAAGGACTGTTTATGTGTGTGTAAATATACTTGCGTGCATATGTACAGCACCTGGCACAATAAAGCCTTGGCTGAAAAGTGTAGCTGGAGGATCTTTTCATTACTGTAAAGCAGATAGCTACAAAGAGGAGTATTATTCATGCGGGCTAAAACACAGGAATTTTTTTAATGCATTAACATTTCCAGAAATGTCAGAAAATCATTGCCCCATGGACCATAACAAACCAGCTTTGGCATGAGTGTTCATGCACCACATTGGTTACTGTTTGACTATCCTATTCTCAGTTGTAGCCTCTCTGAGTCAGATTTTACTATTCCTCCTGTCCTTTGATCTCACCTCCTGAAGTCTTTTTCTCTGTTATGTTGTTGTAAGGCAGTATTCCTTTATACATAAATATATTTAAGAGGTAATTGCAGTTGGAACATTCTTTAAAGAGCCTTTGGGTACCTCTTCAAAACTCAAAAGGATGCTTAGTTTACACGTTATCTTAGGCAAATTCACCTAAGGTTTAGGCTGGCCTGAGGTAGGAGCTTGGTGAAATTCTGCAAGGTTGTGTCATAGCTATTAAAGAAATCATCGCTCTTGAAATTTTACCTCCCAAAATGAAGAAGCAGAAACAAGTCAGTGTATAAAAGCTCCTTCCACTGAGAAAATGAAATTGGTGCAAAAATAAGGCTACCTTTGTCTTAAAAATATGCGATGAAGCTATTTTGCAGGGAGATTGGAGAGAACCTGCAACCTCAGCCCATGCAGAGCAGAGCAGAGCAGAGCAGCTGAAGGGTCTAGTTAAGCCCACCAGCAATGTCAGCAAAATGCACACACTAAAGAGGTTGAGTATTGTTGAGGAGTGGTTGTTATGCATATCTCTACAATCCCAACTCAGGGATTTTCTCAGTTCATCTGAGCTGCACGCCAAGCACAGCGTTTATCTCACATCTACATATCATCATCTCATGCCCCACCTCCCTGTGAATGAGGAAGAGGTATTATCCATCTGTCCCAGTTGGGGAGGTGAAACAGGGAGAGTGACACTTGTGAAAATTATTATTACAGTGAAACTTAAGGAGAGCAGGTATGCAAATACCTCAAAACCTAGCTCTTGATAATTCACCTATAGCAAACATAGTGACAAGATTGCAGAAGCAAAACTGGGCCAGTACTCTTCCTCATTATACAGTGGTTTTGGTGGGATTCAGCTGAAATATCTATCAATGGTTGTCTGTGGAAACTATGAACTTCTAAACATCTGAATCTGAAATGAGAGGAAGCCAGAGACTGTGGAAACCCTGCTAAATAAGTGTAAATCGGACTTACCCTGCCCTTGGTAACAGCCGGAACAAGTCCTGATCCCTGTACAAGTGTTCGCATCAAAGTTCCTGAAAGCTGTGTTAGAGATGAATAGCTGGTATCTTTTGGGAGTTTTCAGTCCTGCCGACATACAGGTCCTATCCTGCAATGAAGAAATGAAGAGCGCTGGGAAACATATCACCATGTGAATCTCCAAGTCTAGTGAGTCCAGGATGCAGCAGCTGGGACACAAGGACATGACTGCACTCAGGTCCGTGGTTGTGGGGCAACGTATGCTGTTTGAAGGACAGATCTAAGCTATTGCTTTGCAGATTCGGACAAGTAACATCTGTTTAATTCACCATTTGCAGTGTGTGATAGTGTTACATTCAGGGCAGTGATTGCCTTGTTTGCTTTGTCCTGGTTGTTGCCTAGTAGTTAAGGTTGGACATTTGAAGGGAAAGGAAATTGCACATTCCCTGGGAAGAAAGAATCCACCTGGAAGGCACAGTGAGCAGGTTTGTTTAAAGTCCCTTTTACTTTACCTTGTCTTGTCCAGCAGGCAGGAAATTTCCCTACTCTACAAAGCTAATCGTTCTAATTTCTGTTCTAAGAAAAACCTGTCTGCTGAGATTCAAAGCCCTTTTGTGTGATTGGGGATGGGGGAAGCATTTAAGTTAGGCTCTCTTCAAAGCTCTGGTCCAGGGTCCATCAGAGCAACGAGAAGTGGAAAGGAAGAGCAAAACCTACAAGTGATGGGAAACACAATGGACAATCTAGATTTTGTGGTGATTGTAGGCCATGACACAGGGGAAGTGTACATCTCTGCCAATTTATCTTGGAGACAGGCTGGGAAGAAGGATGTACTCAGAGCTAGCGGGTAGCCTGGAGGAGGAAGGGCTGGCAGGAATGTGTGATACTGTTTCTGAGGCCAATAAACACTTTTGTAGAACAACTCTCAAAAGCCGTAGTAGAGAATCAATCGAGAAATCCACCCTCTGTGAAAACTTCCTCTATAATTGAAAATGTAGAATGAAATGGACTTTTATAAATAGATTATTACTTCAAAGAAACGGTGCTACTTCAGTCTCATTAAGAGACAGTAGCTCCATCACCTTTTTTACTCTGAGGCCAAAACATCTGGGATGATGGTCCTGATCCTTGGGCCATCTTCTTCCAAATCACTGCTAAGTAGAAATCCCTGGCTTCTGGTAACAAATCGGTCAGAAAGACTCTATTGGTTTTTTGCTTACACTTGCTGTTCTTCCATCCCACCCCCCTTTCTATCTTTTTTTTTTTTTTTTTAGTTAATTTGTTTTATTTAAATAAATAACAAATAGAAGAAGGGTGTGAGACGACAATTCCTCCCTAGCGTGTGTCACCTGTCTCAGACCTCCAGCTTTTTCAGGAAGAAATGCTTCTCCTCAAATAGCTCCACAAGGACAATGAGTTGCTCTATGAAAGCATGGAGGAGGCTTGCTGAACATCTAGGAAGCTAACAGAAGTCTTTTCCTTGGCTTTTACAGGCCCTGGATTTAGCCCTGCCGCTAATGTTTTAATTGATCAAAGCCCCAGTTTTTAAACGCCCTGATATATCCAGAAAAAAATCTTGTTTTAAAGCACTTCTTTCAAAAACTGGAAGGGCTAGCAGAGAGGAATATCCAAGGTTCCCATTAAATTAATGTCATAAAGTTTTAATTGATATTAAAGAGACATCATTATTAAAGGGAGAATTACATAAATTAAGATGTAAATTATGACAAGGAGGCCCTTATCATGAGATAATCAAAGATAATCACCCCCCTGGGGTACTGCAGGAAACAAGGCACAGCTGAGCGCCTCTAAATCTCTTAACAAGTACAACATTGGAGTCCTTCCATGGATCCTGCAAAGCAAAAACAAAGACATCCACCCTTTGGTGTCTGAGAGAAATTCATTGTGCTGTTGGGACGCTGCAAGGTTGGACTGGCGAAGCCAGGATTTTAACTGAGCTACACACTTTCAATAGACCTACTACAGAGGTTTCTTTCTGTGAGCTTCTAAAGAAAACTCATTTAAAACTCTTTTTCTGCCAGTCAGAGAGAAAATTAATTTCATAAACAACAATAGAAAACTGAGCAGGGCAAAAAAGACCTCAAAATCATAAACAAGCAGCTGTAGCCAGTTGTAACTAAAATTCCATTGTTATCCGTGTTATTAATCTGTTAACAACCTGGTAGCACCCAAAGGACTTTGTCCAGCTTCTTAAAGAAGATCATATTTACTGCATAAATAAAAATGTTACATTTTGATGGCATTTTGCATTCTCAAATAAAAAAGTAGCATTCTGTGTTCCAGGTGGACCAATGATGCTATGAGAGAGCAGAGGAAACCAAAGTGTTAACTAGGATAGAAATCAAATCTGTTGTTTCCCCTCATTATTCTCAAATCACTAAATAAACCCAGTTGTGTGTGGTTAAACAGTGTCTGTTTATTACAGCAAAAGGTATATAGGAATTTATGTTAGAAAAGCTTCTTTAAACAAAAATTATGATTTCTCTCAGAAATCCAGGTTCTGTGAAATTCCAAGAGACCATGTTAATCTTGGAAAAAAAACCACGAGTATAGAAAAAATGAACACTTATCTTACTAACATCCTTCAGCTCATAAGTTGAACAGAAGTGTGATTTTGTTTTTACTTTTGAATGTTGTTTTATAAAGAATATACATGAATAAGCATTATAATATGAAATCTTTTAATAGTTCCAAATTCAAATAGAAAAATCGGAGTCCTTGTTTCAAATTTGTTAAAAAAATCTTCAAAACTTCCAGACTGAAATAAAAAGACATTTGGAAAAAATGCTGAGTTTTCCTGCAGAATACAATCTCCGGTTTCTCAACAGCTGATGTTTATTCAGTTCTACCATCAGCTGGTACGAATGGAGCGCCTGAAAAACGATGCAGGATCCAGCTGACCAAATGCTGTTTCTCTTCTGCTGCTGCCAGCAGAAGCAACAAAATCCTTGGTTCCAGCGGGTTGGGACAGCGTTACTGATGCTCCAAGTTTCTCTGCTTCATCATTAAATCGATGTCCCTTGCAGGTGCTGCTGCTGAAGACATCATCTTTCCAAGGAGTGGAAGACAGCTAGAGGACTAAGCAAACAGATCAGTGCCCAAACCTCATCCTGAAGCTGGGCCTAAGTATTTATCTTTTCATACGATCTACTTAAAATCTAGGCTTTACCCAAGCTGCCATGGAGCAGGGGCTGTTTTTCAGGTTGCTTTCTTATTTCTCCAAATTCCTGCTTGAAGGGTTGCTGTGCAACTCAAGAGACATTGAAATAATTCCTGCAGTGCTTACCTTTTGCCCAATGTGTCCAATTAAAACGCTATCAGCTACAGAAGTGTTTCCCAGGCTTTCTACAATGTCAATGCCAAAGTCTTTGCAAGCGTAAATCCAGAAATGTTGGAGTTCAAGGTTGCTGCTACTAAAAATCTATATAAAAGCATAATAAAGGAAAAATTATTTAAAAAAACAGATTGTTCATAACTCTGCTTCACTTGCAATACAATAGATGGGGAAGTGTAAAAACACATTAAAGTGTTGAATGTGTATTTAGTATTTGAGCATCTCCCCTTCATTTCTTATTTCTGCTTTTAATTAATAGTACAAAAACCTTTCCATTCTACCAACTTATTTTCGTGTTAAAAGAAAAAAGAACAGTATGAAAGAAAATCAGAACCGAGAATCAGTAATAGACAGGGTAAAAGTGCCCTAAATATTTGGGGGTTTATTACTGGAAAGAAAAGAAGGGTAAAGAAGTTAATGTTTGTAGCAGAAAGATGCCTTGAAAATAACCAGAGGTATTGCTTACAGTCACCTAACAGCAAGAAGACTGTTCCTAGAGGGAGCCCATGGAAAGAAGTAGAATAAACTGAGTTATTCATGTATGCTAGGTCTGTAATGTACAAAGAAATTACAAGTTAGGCAGAGAAAACTGCAAAACCAACTACAAAATATCTTTCTGTTTTATTTCTTTTCATGCAAATAAGCTTTTCCAGAAAGAGAATGCACCAGTCTGAAAAAAACACACTGAAAAATTGGACACCTTCAAAGGAAGAGCCATAGGATGGGTTAGATTAGAAAATATGCCTTACAGAGAAACACATACAATCTGTTCAGGTTATCAGACGGGGGGTTAAGAGAATCACAGCCTCTAAGCACCGGTACGGGAAGAAAGTATTAGATAATAAAGGGTGATGTGGGGTTTTTAATCAGATTAAGTAGTAGTGAGCTACAATAGCTGGAAAATGAAGCTAGACAAATTCAAACAAACAAAAAAAAGCACGTTTTTAACAAGGATGAAAAAATTCCCATGGAAATCATGAACCCTATGAAGGTAACAGGTCCTCTACCAACTGCAACCTTTACGAATAGCTCAGCTCCACTGGGAGGATTTTTTTGGCTGCATGATCTAGTGGAAGCGGGGTAGGAATTAGATGATCTCTAAAGTCCTTTCCAATCCAAACCATTCTATTCTGTGATAATAGCGGCAGACAGATAATTACAGAGGACCCCAGCTATTGATGAAAGTAGCACTGATTCTGCACTGAAGCAGTAAGAAGAACTCATACAAATTGTGTTTCTGGCTTTATCACCGAAATAGGAGCCTCCAGCTGAGGGACATGGACATACAGGTACAAGAACTTTACCGTAACTGTGGCCTATTTGCAGCCTTAAAAGATGAAGTCAGTGTAGAGGTGGTACACTTGTAAAGATCCTGAGCATCACAGAGGACAGTCAGGACAAAAGTACCTGTGCTCCACCTTGGCTGCTCCAAGCTGTGAAGTTGTTGAACTGAACAGGTCGGTTTGGGCTGTCTGGCAAATATTCTGGGTACACCAGCAAGCCGTACCTGTTGAGGAAAGAAAGCAAAGGAGACAGTTTCTTTACAGTGCATGTACTCATGAGCAGATTTTCCTATTAATCATTTTGATATCTAAAATCTTAGATCTGTAACAGTTCTCTGCATGAGACTTTATCATTTAATCCAAAATCAAAAACTGGTGGATAGCAATATTTATTTTAGGCATCTAATCATGCCAGAGAGCATACTTAAAATTTCTTTTCAAGCATTTTCATAATTAACCACGTCGGGGCTAACCACCAGTGTGCAGTACCACTGACAAGTGCTCGCTGCAAAACACCCCCACCATGCTCTTGAGCTTTCAACCAGCATCACCTTCAGAGAAGCCTGACATGGATCTGGACAGATAAGGCTTTTTTATATCTTGGATTCAACCAACTTGGAGTACATTCTAAAAGTACGTGTTCCTGAATGAAGCCCTTGGTTTGACCTTCTCAGTGATTTTAAATCCAGATTAATATCCAGATTTCCTCAAAATTCAGATGACTCCGTCCACTTTTAGTACAATGATATTTTTTACTATCATTTCTGTTTTAGGGAAGTACAGGCAAAAGCTCTAGTGAATAGCCATTCCTGGATGCTACAGGAACAATTGTTTTATGTAATGTCTGACATTTTATCCCGTGGGACTGCAAAGTGATTAGTCTCTTCAATCTACTTAATCAGAGGCCAAATTCTAATACTTGAGTGTTCATGCTGCTATGATATAAAGCATCTGGAGGTAAGAAATGACACTCCAGGTTGTGTAAGCCAGTGTCAAGTCTCTAATGGTGGCCTGCAGGAGATGTTAAAGGAGGAGTGTGAGAAAGACATCGTGTATCTGTTCTCCCGCGTGCCACCCTCTTCTGCTCAAAACGTCTGGTATACTTAAAAAGGAGCTTTCAGTTCCACACATGAGCACATGCTTCAGTGCTTTGCTGTTAAACGGTTGATGAGAAATATGTTAGACGTGGCACCTTAAACTACATCAGGATCATTTAAACAAGGGGGTAAAGTGGAGCTTGTTAACAGCACTGGGAAATGCTGCAAGCTGACACATCGGGCTCGTGAACGAAGAAGAAAGGACCGTATTGAAACTACTAAGGAAACTATTCGCCATCAGGCCCTGAAAAACAGCCCCAACCAATGTCGCTGTCAAACACTGCTTCTGCTCTGGTGTGGAGAACTCTGCTTACAAGAGAGGAAGCCCTAAAAGGGTGCAAAATTGGAAAAAAAAAAAAAATCCTGAAAGGAGGGGCAAAGCATTTTCACAATTGTAGTTAGCACTACCATGGACTGAAAGAAAATCTCTTTAACCAAGAATCCCGAAGTACCTTGTGCAGGAATGAGCTACGTTCTCACTGAAGGACAGGAGAGGTATTTTGGATGGTCCCTCAGGGGAGAGATGAAAGAAATAGCCGTACCCAGCAGCACACACTGTGTTACCCTGCAGAGAAGCATATGTGACTGTGAAAAACGATTACCACAGATTTCTGGAAATTAAAATAAAATTAAGAAAAACCCAGATTAAAATCCCAATTGATGTCCATTCAAATTCTGGTAAGTCTTGCTGGTAGAAGCTGGTACCTTGTTTCTGTGTCCTCAGTCTCGTCCTGTTTTCGCTCTGTCCTTGGGCCAGTCTTAAAAAAACCTGTTGCTGAGCCAGGCAACAAGGGTTGGCCAAGCAATAGAAACAAATGACAGAAAAATGGTATTGCCGTAGTTCTTCGAGAAGTACATAAGAAAAAAGTTTGTGGAAAACTTCTTACCCCTATAAAATCCTTTCTAATTAGGAAGGCGATGTCATGAAAGAAGAGAAAATCACAAACTACTCAGTTTATTGATTTGTTTCTCAATCTGTCTCTTTCTTATACCTCCCAAAGCAAATTCAGCAAAAAGAAACAAAATGAGCACGAAAAAGTGAGACCCCCTAACAGTTGAGAGAAAAGAGAGAACTACATCTTCAGGATGTGTCAGTGGCTGAACAACTAAACTCACTCAGACCTGTGGTAAATTACTTGTTTTGGATTCTTTTTAACAGGATAAGTGAATAACCATGGGAAGATGTGCTGTAAGTTACTGTCACTTAATATCTCTTAATGAAGAAATTCTGGAGTTGTATTCTTTGTATTATTGCAAGAGGTGAAAAATGGGTGAACATGAGGTTTGCCTGGTCTTATATTAGGAGTTTGGTACTTACAGAGTCTGTAGCAAGTGGGTTATGTGGGTTCTATGCAATGGGTTAGGACCTTTTCCACTCTAGGGAAAAAAACTTTTATCTGCTTCATTTGGACAGCAGCCAAACCTAGATGGTTTTGGACGGTGTCCATACAGCGGTGTTTTCATGTGCACATCTGGACATGATCCCTTTCACCTATCTTAGATGTGTAAAAATTTAATGCTGAAGTCCAGGCTTCTAAACCTAGGCTCCCTTTCCAGGAAAAAATAAGGCAGAGGCATGTCCAGAGGGCAATTCCTCTGGTCTATCCTTAGAAAAGATTAATTGCTCTCTGGAGGCACCTAGTTCTCTAAGGGGAGTCTAAGATGAGCTTTCTTGCAGGTATAAGAAGAGCTTGTTCTCTAAGATCGGGACTGACACCCACCACTACCATTCGTAGGTCATCAGACAGTGTTAAAACACTAATGACTTTTTGGTCCCTGATGGTCCAAATCAAAGCTGAGCCTGGTGACCTAGAGGTGAAAACCTCCATACACCAATTACTTTCTTCTGACCTATCCAAGGGTGTTCCCTGCAGTCGTGATCTCTGACATCTGTCAAGCAACAAAGAAGTATCAATACCCAAAGCACTGCTTTCTCTATCCCCCGGTAAAACTGCTGCTTTTTCTGAAAGTGCAGCCGCAGACCCTTTTCCTTTAATAAAATACTTCTGCAGTCCAGTCACATTATTTCCAGGATCTTTTACTTGCGACTCCAATCATGCGTTCTACAGATGATTCATAAGAAAAAAACCTGCATATTTATTCAGCCAGTTAGTGGCTGGAGGGCAGGGGTTTTAGGCAAGCAGGGAATTTTGTGTGGAAATCAATTCTTTGTGGAAGTCAGTATATTACGAATGTCCGTGCAACCAAAATTCCAGAGAGAAATTACCTCCCCGAGCGTGCCAAATACCTGGAGGTATGCATCGCAAGTCAGTAAAATAAAGTGGTTGACGTTTTAAGTGTCTCTTAACCCTGCTAATGTAAATATTTCATGAATTTCTTTTAGATAGCTGGGACTCAAACTCTTGACCTTAAAGATGACATTAAAGCTCTGGAGGGTGTGCCCAGCACCGCTCCCCCAGTTTCAGAACGTGGCAGGATGCAAGGAGTACCCCCAACGGGCTCGCTTCAACATGGGCTCACCTTGCAGAAGGTGTTAGAGAAGATCTCGGTAGGGATGAAATAGTGAGAAACAATCGATGCCAAACAGATGCAGCCTCACCACTGTGATACTGTGGAGAATGGCTGGGTTGGGTGATACTGGGAAACAAATTCATTTATCAACAGCGTGACCATCAGTCACTCCTCTGACATGGAAACACAAGCTGATCTTCACCCCGTTCATTCATTTAAGCTGTTTCCCAGTCCTCAATGCCATGGTAAGAAAGGAAAGGGAGGATGCCTGTTGAATTTCTTAAACCCAGTCTGTATGTTGTTATGCATGAACATGCTGGCTCTGGGATTTAAGGGCATTGGATGTTTATGAATAGGAAGTTACTACAAAAGGCCCAAGACCCACTGGGCCCAAGAGAACCAAGAGAAGAAGATAAAAAACTACTTTCTTTTTTTTTTTCCTGCACTCAAAAATAAAACTAGGGACATAGGGCACGCACTTCAGTGACAAAAGAGCCAATATCAAAGAGGGGCATCTTCAGTTCCTCATGCTGATAACATTTAAAAGGCAAGAAACCAGCCTGCTAATGAAATTATCTTATGACACTAAAAAGTGATAACCAGGGCTTCCATACTTCATTAAAAAAAAAAAACCAAACCTAACATTGTAATAATCATTTTGCCTTTATACTGTATGAATATAACATTTTATCTAACACCCTGATTCACAAATGCACTTAAGAGCTTAAGTCAAATGGAAACCAGTGGGAATTAGTTCTCTGAATGTCTTTGTAGGCTTAGGTTTGAGTGACTGCTGTGTCCCAATTTCAACACCGTTTAGGAGACCACTAGTTTTCAAGCGAATTTAAGCTCTTCAGTCACCGATGCAAATTTAGGCTCCCAGGTAAATTGAGTCGTTATGAAAATATGATTGCAGGACTCACTGTGGAAAGCTTAACCCATGTAACACAGTGCGGACCTAGAGCTCCTCTGCCTATCTTAGCTGTACTCCTTGCCTTAAAGATTGCAGCCTGTAAGTTTAAAACCAGTAACTGAAAGATGGCAATCTGAAAACAAAAAGCAAACAAACACAAAACCCGACAACCACCTAACATTAAAATCTAGAGGGGGAAATTTCTATTCTATGTCATGGCTTGGAAACCAGGCAGTGGGCAGATGAGTCTTTCCCATTACACTCTTCAGACCTCCCTATTAAATTAAGATTATAGATACCTAAAAAGCAAATCCAGTTCTTGAGCCATTTGATCAGATAAAAGGTGCTGAAACTCTGTAATATCATGATGCTGGTGCTGGACCAGCATCCCTTGCATTTAGTGATTATTACCGTACACTAAGAAAAAGTTTTGCTTAAAAAAATTGTGACTTTTTCTCTTAATAACCATGTCATTTCATGTCTTCTGCTGAACACTGCTTGGTACCGTAGAACAGTAAGTGCAGTTAATAATAATTTTAAGCTAGGCAACTTCTTCATATTTTCCTTTTGCTGCTGCAACGCCTCAAATAGCCCACTCCGAGAGGCTGCCGACATTGAGGTTTATCAGCAACCCTTCAAGGGCCATCAGCTATTCTGCCTTGAGTAACGCAACTTTGGAGAGCAGACTTAACCCTGATGTTCGGGTGCAGAGCCACAGACGCAGCTTTGGGCATATCTACAAAGACATGTGAATGGAGGGAGCTAAACAAATGTGCTGAAAACCGACCACAGTCAGTTCACACGTACCCGTAGAGATAATTGCAGCAAACCTTTTCAAAAGCTGAGCCCCTGGCAATCGAGTAGACAGCTCCAGGGTAAGTCAGTGCATGATGCTACAAAACTCTGTGTTTAGTGGAGCTGAAATTCAAGTGATTCTGCTTAGTTGTTGTATTCTTTAACCATATTTGATGATCTTCAAAACGATAAATATGCCCTTGAGGGAATTGCAGGAAAGTCCTTTCCTTCTTCCTAAGTGCTATTGTCTTCATACTAACATAGGAAATGTGTTGGTCTCTTTTTAACCTTCAAATTTAGGTGCAAGTCTTTCCTCTTGGAACAGAAGCCCAGGGGGCGATTAGGTCTTCACATACACTTAATAATTGGTTTGGTTTCTGTGGCTTAGCAATAGAACAGGTCACTATTTTTTTTTTAACGAAAATGTGCATTTGTCACAACTGAAACTGTGGTAAGAAAGGCCAGTTTCAATGAAATTCCAGACTTAAAGTAGTTGGGAAGGACTTAATTGCTGAAAATCATACTTTTTTTTTTCCATGAAACAATTGAAAGTGACTCTTTATTCTGAAATCTAAGTGACTTGAATAAGACAAAAACATGTATGAACTAAAAGAAAACATCAGAGAATTAGTGAATAAAAAGATTTTTACTGAGCTCAACTTTTTGATGTGAGGGTTGTTAGTCTGTTAGTTTTTTAAGAGTTCGATGTTTTATCACTCTTTAGAATAGAGAAGCTTGTTTTTTTTTAAAATCAATGTCATTTTCATAGGACAGGGAATGCACCCTGGAATGCAAATCTTGGACTGTATGTAAGTTGTCATTTTAAATCCAGACAGAGGTGCATTTGATATTGCTGAATTTTAGTATGTTTGTCATCAGTCCATTGATTTTTTTTTTTTTTATAGTGACAGAAGTAGGAAAAAATTCGAGAGAAGCTGAGCCTAAACTTATTTCCAGTTTTTATGAATCCATGAGAATTAAGAATTAAAACAACTTTTTAAAGTATCCCAGGATGAAGGATCTCACTGCAATATTTCATTCCATTCAAGTGCAGTAAAATTTTCAGTAACAATAAATTTGCCCATGAATGTAATTTATTTTGCAATATGCGCTTGTTTTAATATCCCATCACAAGCACAATTTCTAACAGCTCAGCCGAGAAGCAAGTGTTGTGTATATGATCTCCCAGATAAATGAATCTTCGTATCTTTTTGATATCTTTGATTAGAAAGGAAATGTTACTTTCTATACCTGAACTTCTTACCTTGATGTTGTTGGCAGGAGCCCTGATGTAGATCCCTGCTGGTGACAGTGTCTCAATGTTGGATAAACCGTCTGTTCCAGAAAGGCCAATCACTATGTTGTTACTGACTCTGTTCCCCTCTTCCAGTCCCTCTCCTTTCAAAAAAAAAAAAAGAAAAAAAAAAAAAAAAAAAAAAAGAAAAAAAGAAAAAGAGAAAAAAAGAAAAAGAGAAATTAAAAAAGAAAAAAAAAAAGAAACAGAAATCTACATATAGCTGGAAACCCTCTATTATACAAGTCACAGAACTTGCTGGGTTTTGCCCTGCCTGCTTTGCTGGCATGGCCCACTTAGGAATTAGCTTTCCCTGCTAACTGTCCCTGGGTAAATCACTGTTTGAAAAGCACTTAGAAACCTGTGTTTAACACATGGCAGAAGATGGCTATGAGACGGCCCAAGACTGCCATGACTGCTCAAATGGAAAGGGGAAAGCTGTGTGCTTCAGAAATGTCAGGAGGCCACAAGCAAGATCTGATCAATATTGTAAATATGATAAAAAACCAGCTTCTGCCACAAAAGGCTTACACTCTAATGAGATAAAAACAATCGGGGAAAGGAATACTACAATACATATTCTACAAAGAGGCAATAATGGTTCTGCAATTCAATATGCACAAGACCCTGTACCAGGTGTTATACATGAATATAACACCAGCCATACTGTACCCCAGGTTTGTGGAGAAAATGAATAAAGGGAATATTATAAAGCACATTTGCAGTTGGAAAAAAAGAGATTCAGAGTGGGGAAGTGGCTCACCTATGCAAACACAGGCATGCTTCTGGCAGTACTAGAATTCAAAGTCCTATGTATCTCCTGTGTCTCCCTCCACTGCCCTACTTACATGTAAGAAAATTTCTAAATAGACTTAAAAACACCTGGTGCAACTCTGCACAGAAATGGGGGGGTTGCCCCCCCTTAAGCAATGAAGTATGAGAAGAAAAAGGAAAAATCAATCAAAAAATTGATCACACAACTCAGAGTCATGAGGTGCCCCAGATCTAGTAGCAGTATTGAAGTAGGAAGAAAAAAAAAGAAGTATCTTTGTAAACTACACCGTAAAGAAATATGCCACCCAATGGCAAAAAGTGGACAGTCCCATACAAGTCAAGTCCAAATAAGGACACATCAGCATATGTCCCCCCGCTCTTGCATTTTGGAAGCAGAATACAAAGTGGATCATCTTTCTTTGGTCCACGTCAGGAGGAAATTAAATCTATTTGGTTTTGTTTATTGAACATAAATGATTATCTTCAGCTATACCTGCTCAAGTTCTATTCCAAATACAGATCCTTTCCCCGATCACCACTACCCCAAATGTAAGCCACTTGCCAGGAAAACCTATGTGCTTTGGTTTTGAGGATGGCCGTGATTATTTTTAACCTTCCTCTCAGTCTTTTGAGCCTTTCTCCATTTTTGGAACAAGATCCATTTAGGAAATATTTCCTTTCCAGGCTGTATTTACTACAATGCCACTACTGGAGTATGAACAGGATCCTAAAGCAGTCCTTTTGACAGCCATACAGTTTTTTGAGGTGGCATAAAAAGTCTTGGTGTGTCAATTAATTTTAAGCCCAGAGCGAATTTTTATGACTGTCTTGCAAACCCCCTGAAAATAAGGGTTTTAGATGAAATCACTGAGGGAGTCCAATTCTGGAGCTGCAAATAACCAGCTATAATAAATATTCCTTCACAGGCAACAAAATGATATATAAATTCATCCATCAGACCCTCTGGAGCTGCTGACAGTGAAGCCATTAAAGACATCTTGGGGAAAAGGTGGATTCAGGCTGAGACTTCAGCAGAAACGTTCAGCTCAGCCCAGAGTCCTTTAACTCAGACACATGTCCTAGCACGAGTGAACCAAGGCGTGCCGGCAGGAGATCTTGTTCTGCTTCCCCATGGCCACAAGAGCTCTGTGCATCACCTTGGGCAAGTCGTTGCATCTCTCTGAGCCAGTTCTCTTTGTCTGCAAGGTGTATACAATCACTCTCCTTTTATAGGTCTCCTCTGTTTAAATCGTAATCTATCACTTCTCATTATGTTTATATACAGGACCTAGCATAGGGACTCGCTGTGCGTGTGGAACTGCAGGATCAGGACTGAAGGCTTTTTTTCCCTCTCTGTTTATCTTAAAATTGGTCATTTTTATCCCATCTCTGATGGAAAACAAAAATCGAGCTATATCTTTAGGTATTCAGCCAACATGAGATCCCAGCAGAAGATGCTGCAAGTCAGGCTCCTGATGGTTAGTTAGGAGAAATATTTTGTTGTTTAACATTTTTGTTGCTCCAAGCTCCAATTTATTTAAGTGCTAAATCCTCTGCTTAACTTTTAACATATGCTTTCACTCCATTATCTTCGATGTCAAATGACTGAAGTTAAAGGTAAGTATGCTCTTAAATGCCTCACTGAACTGGGGTCTTAAATATTGCATAATGGTGCTCTTCCAAAGACAGATAAATCAATCCCCTAAAAAAATCTCCTTCCACTTGTGCACTGAAAAAAAGGGATCCAGATCAAGTGAAGACTGACCTGAAAAAACAGAAAGCGTATGGTCAAACAGAAATAGCTGTTAGGTGTTGCATGTGCAATCGTGGAAGCTTTATTCCAGATTCACTGATACCAGAAAATGCGGAAGATGTGATTAAAGTTCTCAGGGCGCAGGTAAGGATCTGCCATTCTTTCCTCCAAAGGCATTTTCATGCAAATGGTAATCAGCACACCTTGCTGTTACATGTAGGACAGATATTTCCCTGCTTCACTTACCCAGTAGAAGCCCATGGCCTGAAATGTTATAGAAAACATTACTCTCCACACTAAGGTTTGAGATCCCGGTCAGACGGAGTCCTTGGCCAAAGGAGTCCAAAATACAACAGCCACGTATGTAAGAGTCTGGAAAGAAATGAGTCCTGTAAGCAAAAAGCACACGGCAGCTTGAAGGCTGGGAGAGTTTTATATTAGCTCCTCGTCCTTGGATGCTGTGCAATTAATCCTTTCGGCTCCCGTGGGACTGCTCGGTTGCAGCTGCCCGCCCTTACTCACCTGGCAGGTCTTTGCCAACAGGCGGGCATTGCTGAGATGGGCACAGTACGGAAGAGGGGCCCGGAGCGCAGAAATGGATTAGTGGAGGTGGTCCACTATTGTGAGGAAGGAGGAGGAGTTCCAGTGAAAGGATAGGGTAAGATCCCAAGAGTGAAGTATGTTATGAGCTCAGGCAGAGGAGGCTGAGGGGAGACCTCATCGCGCTCTACAACTACCTGAAAGGAGGTTGTAGCGAGGTGGGGGTTGGTCTCTTCTCCCAAGCAACAAGTGATAGAACAAGAGGAAATGGCCTCAAGTTGCGCCAAGGGAGGCTTAGACTGGACATTAGGAAAAACTTCTTTACTGAAAGAGTGGTCAGGCCTTGGAACAGGCTGCCCAGGGAAGTGGTGGAGTCACCATCCCTGGAAGTATTTCAAAGACGTGTAGATGTGGCGCTTAGGGACATGGTTTAGTGGGCATGGTGGTGTTGGGTTACCGGTTGGACTTGATGATCTTAGAGGTCTTTTCCAACCTTAATGATTCTATGATTCTATGATTGAAGTGGGACTGAAGGAGAGGAGGAACATTTCAGAAGGGCAGTGAGGACAGGACATGTGTCCTGTACACCTTGTCTAGCCAAGCATGGTGACCTGCCCACTGTACTCCAGGATCATGGCCAGTGCTGCCTTCTGCCACCAGGAAGCCTAGATCCTCACTCAGTGATGAAGATGGCATAGGAAAGGCATAAATGTGGGTTAGTTGTAAAGGGGAAAGTCCCATCCAGTACCCTTAAAACATTATTCGAGCCCACCTAACTTGCTCCTATCACCACCACTCTTCAAAGCCCTCATTGCCACTTCCACAGAGATGAATTTTGCACTTATCAGTGACAAAGTCAAAAGAACTTAATATGTTCCTTAACCTTCAGGTGATAGAATTAAATTTTGGCCTACCGCACAGCCCTGAGCCACCTCTGGGCTCCCTCGTGGTATATTAGTGCATTCATTTCCAGAGCTAGAAGTAGCGCACCAACTCAGAGGTTTGGCATAAAAATGAAATATTATTTTAGGAGAAAGCTGTCCAGAGATGCAAAGGAACTAAAGCAGCTTAAAGCATTCCGTCAAGTTTCACTTGGGCTGACTACAGGTGAGGTTTTCTTTTAGCAATCCAATTTGTCAAATGACCCGAGAGCTGAGCAGGCTTTTGAGGACATCTGCCCCAGCTTTGGGCAGAAAAAGGTGGATGTTTGAGATCATTGGGGCCCACCTCCAGTGCAGCCATCTCACCTGCCATCCACGCGTTGCCAGCAACAGTCAGGGCACTGCGGTGCTGCCGAAACTCTTGGCCCACGTGGCGGAACTGGACCCCCTCCAGCCGGAGCCGACTCACCTCTCCCTGGAAGGCCTCCACAACCACGATGGCCCCCAGGTCCCGAGACCCCAGCTGCCTCTCGCTTCTCTTGTACAGACACCTGGAGCCACCTAGAATACAACCAAGTGGGAGCTGTCAGTGTCACTTCTCCGTGGTGACAGTGGGGTGCGCAGAGTGCCCCAAGCAACACCATGAGACCCATCACATTGACTCAGAGAGACTCCACCTCCAGCAGCGATCTTAAACATGGGCCCAAAGACAAATAGCCACAGGCAAACATATTTGATACTCCGTCTAAATACTCCCATGGTTCCTTCCGTAAAAGCCTGGACATTTTTAGAGGAACGTATATTAAAACCAGCAGGAAGCTGTGGTGGTTTTATGCCTTGGAAAGTTCCTTGTGTTCAATTTTAAATAGTTCTATGCATGGGGAAGATGGATTTGACATTGATTTACCTTGGGTGAGGTTCTTGAAAAGGGGATTGGGCACGGATGTACTGAACTAAACTGAAATGAGAACATTTTGAATTTTCTTTAAAACTCTTGGTCTCCCCACTGTCCCTGCAGATGCGTGAGGAACTGTTACCACCCACAGTCTGAAGACAAGGAAAGTAAATCGTAGGGCTAGGGAAGGAATTGACATTCCTGAAAGGCATCCTTCCGTGGGTCTATGCTTAGGGTGTTTTGGTATGAGGGGGTTCAGGTTACGGGTGTGCAACCTGGGCTTGTTCAGTGGAGGTGCAGAGGGGATTTCAAATTCCAGCACCGCGTGCTTATGCTCAGTAATGCTCATTTTTCTTTTAAAGAAGGTAAATTAACCACAAAAAACATTGCCCACTCATCTTGTGGTGACTCCTGTGAGAAATCCTCCTATCCTTTAACTCAAATAAAAACCTCAGATGGTTAGCACATTTCAGAGACTATATTTATGAGTTCCACAGAAAATGGACCATAAATCTAGTAGTAATATAAGCAGTTGGCTGCTGGATATCAAATGAAGTCTTGTGTCACAGTCTGAAAGCCCAAGGCATTTTATTTTTAAAGGAAACCTTACAGCTGTGTTGCCAGATAACCTAACTCTCCTCAAATTATAATCACTGTGTCTGATTCTGCTTCCTCATCAGCTGGTGTAAATCAGGAAGCCACCTGTCAAACTTCATGGTGTTTCATACAGGTAAAACTAAAGGACAACTGAGATACCTAGCACTGTTTCACCAGTTTTACTATATGCTACAAGAAACCATCACCTGTCTTTTTTCTTGGTATCCCTAAACACCAAACAACGTCTCAATATTTTACACAAAAACAGCATTGGGCTGTTTTGTTTTTCCCTCTTCTTAAAGCGACTAAATAGTAAACACAATTAAAAATTTAATATATTACGTACACTGAAACATGTTTTCAGAAGATACTTTCTTTTCTACACCCTTAGGCTCAGGCAAAACTAAAGGGTCTTTCCCAAGATGGCTTGAAACAACAATGTGAAAATAATACATCTGAGATATTACAATGAAATGCAGTTCAATTCCCAAGACTTCACACTTTAATGTCAAACAATGTTTGGAAAGATAAACTTGCTTTCCTGGTGCTGTCTATAACTATGTCTCAAAGTTATCCTATTCAGAAAGATCTCTGATACACAGTGACACCAGAATGTGATTTTAATGGAGCCGTTTTCCTCCTCGGTACATTTCTGTGAAAAAAGACCTCCTCACCTCTTGTGACACCTGCTTTTACACACTGTCTGAGGTGTGACATCCTCTCCATCGTGACATTTCCTTGAACAACAACCCTTCTGCTAATCAGTGCCACCACAGCACTCAAAGGCAGGCTTTGGCCGTTCACCCATGCCTCTCCAACATTGTGGGAGTACCTGGGAAAGTAACAGAAAAGGTACAAAAGTATCTGCACCTGCCAGATGGCAAGAATGATGTTTACCCTAAGCTTATTACACCAACTGCCCAAATTCAGAGCTGGTTTCAGTCCTATCTCATCATGAACAGTGGCATATCCAATGCGTCTGCATATATGGGCTAGGTATATTTTTCCTTGGCTGAAGTTTGTTTTCATCTTTCTGTCTCTCAAGCTCACAAATTTTCCTTAGATATATAAGTTTACACCAAAATATTTCAGCCTTAACTTTCTTCATCTTCCCAAAACACATTTTGGTGATAACCATCAGACATTCCTTCATCAAGCCCAAGATGCTTCTGAAAATTATACCATTAATCTTTCTGGGCATTGGAGTTGGGTTGCCTCCCAAACAGATAACATTTTTCAACAGTGGGGCTCCAGGTTATGATGATAAGAAGTACAGTTTGACCAAAATCTCCACGTACAGAAGACAGAGCGTAAGGCAGTGAGACTACAGCTCACTGAAAACACAGAAGCAGTATTTCCAAACTGAAGTAATTCACTTTGAGTGTGTTGTTAATCAGCCTAAGTAAATCAGTCAGGAAGGGAGGATTTCTTTTTTTTTTTTTCCAAAAGTCAGACACTTCTCAAGAAATTAACTAAATTCTTTGCCAACTCTGTGCTGAGGCCACTGGACTGTACTGGCCACTGGTGTTTTCTACTTCAAAGGTTTTCTGAGTTCGTGGTTATGATACAGAAATTAAACATAGTCAGAAACATTCAGGATTGAATGTCCACTAGCTTTAGGGGGAGTGAGGAACCGAAATATCTCTGACCACCTTTGTTAAAGGGATTTCTATAGTTATTATGTCCAACAGGGAATGGGAAGTCCTCACTTTGACTAAATTTTCTTCTGGTTTAGCTCTCTGCTATAGAAATCCCTTTACCCCTTGAAAGGATACCTGAGCGGTGATCTAAGGTACAGCTCAGTGTCATTCACAAACTCAATAACAGCCATTTCTTCTTGCTGCTGTGCATCTCCAAAGCCTGTCCTTCCCACCATGATTTCGTCACCAGGTTGCCAATCAACACGTTCCTGGAGCACTAATCGTGTGTCGTTAACATGAGCTGATGATTTCAAGCGTGTGAAAGCTACTTTGGGAATCCAACCTGAAAAAAAAAAGAAAAAAAAATTTAAAAACCAAGTCAATTAACATAAAAAGAACCAGGAGCAGCATGCTTAGAAAACACTGCCTCATTTGGATCATCTCACAGTCATTTATTTGTTTTTGATGCTGTGTAGGAGAGACGGGATTAACGCCACAGAGGAGGATTTGTGCACATCTGCTTGGATCAGAAATGTGGCGCTTTCCAAATATCTTCATTTCATATCTTTTGTCTTTATTGGTCCCAAAAAGCTGAAAAAACATGTTGGAAAGAAGTTTGCTCAATAAGCAGTGGGAGCTGAGGTTCAGTTTCATTCCCCCAAACTGACTTCTCTATGTGAGAAACACCCTCTTCTTAAGCACCTTTTACAACCAACAGAGAAAAGCACTCTCTGCAGGGACCATCATCATTCTCTGAATGGAAAAAACATTTTGAATTATCAGATTCCCTACTCAAGTGTCCAAAGCAACATGCAGTGAACCTAGGCCCACAGGTAACTTGAGTTCACAAAAACATATGCTTCTATTAGCAACATTTAAGTGACATATGGAAAGACAAATATCACCAGTTTCAAAAACTTTTAAGAGTGACTACAGATTGCTCAGCTAGCAAAATGAGGTCATCTTGAAATTGTCTCCAATGGAGGATCCAAATCAAGGGGCCATTTTATGAAGTCTTGTGTTAAGCGGCTTAAACATTTCATATGAAAAGAATTTGCTTCAGCCTTTTTCATCCGAAAGCTGAAATAACATCCCATACTATTTTAAATGTTGTAACTGTGGGGATTTTTTTCCATAAAACTTAAATCTCAGAATACACTGCTGAAACATATTCTCGGTGAGGCCTTAATCTGGCTAGACCTGAAAATATGTTTTCAACTTTAACATGCAGTTGATGTGAAGCTCCCGTAACATCCCTGGGGATTGGGATGGGTTACAGGTTTGGCAAGCAGTGTGAATACATGGGTCAGCATGACTGCAAGATGAAGAAAAGCCTCCTGCATCAGCAACCTTAGGCCACCACTGGAAGGCAATAGCAAGGTTGCAACTTGGAGAAGAGAAGGCTGAGGGGAGACCTCATCACGCTCTACAACTACCTGAAAAGAGGTTGTAGTGAGGTGGGTGTCGGTCACTTCTCCCAAGTAACAAGCGATTGGACAAGAGGAAATGGCCTCAAGTTGTGCCAAGGGAGGTTTAGATTGGACATGAGGAAAAATTTCTTTACTGAAAGAGTGGTCAGGCCTTGGAACAGGCTGCCCAGGGAAGTGGTGGAGTCACCGTCCCTGGAGGTATTTAAAAGATGTGGAGATGAGGCGCTTAGGGACATGGTTCAGTGGGCATGGTGGTGTTGGGTTAACGGTTGGACTCGATGATCTTAGAGGTCTTTTCCAACCTTAATGATTCTATGATTCTATGATAAACTGCAGATTCCCAAATTCCCTCCTCTTTAGTGGACATACTACCAAGTCTGTGTGCAACAAGCCCCATTAACGAAACATCTTGCCATTTCACTCTCCCTTCTTCGCTTCATGAAGTTTGCTTTAACTCTTGACATTTCTTTTTCCCTGGCAGGCTTTGGAATGAATTGATCCAGTGAGATCCAACTCACCGAACACCATCAGGGGAGAGCATGTGCCTCACATACCCACCTTCAGTATATTTTTCCTTCCCTCCTTTGCAATAGATCGTAATTTACCTTTAGCCCACAGCAAGTTACTGTCCTCCCTGGTTGCACTATAGAAAAGTAATACACCAGAAATCACTGAGGGTAGAGGTTGCATCCAATAAATCATTTTCAAATTATTTTAAGCAAGCTTCTCTCTCTCCATTTCTTGTTTCACTTTCTCGTTGCTTATACTCTAGTGTCCCAGTTATTTCCTTAATGAAGACAGAAATAAGGAGTAGCACCTCCAACTCAATTAATTCACAGAAGAATGAGAGAAGGAAGAATTAAGTCTTTACATTCTGTCGTCTTGAAGTATATTTGAGCACGTGCTCTGTGTGTCAATGAGTTGATGCGCATCTAAACCTAGCTGAGATACTTCCGGCTTATTATCTTTTCTTTTTTCTTAAATTGGAATTGAAATTCCTCAACTTACAGCTAAGCAAATCTCCCAGACATCCTTTACTTAATGTGCTTCAGTTCATATCATGGAACTGTTTTTGAGTGCATGAAATGGATTTCCTTCAGATGAAACTAATGCAGACGCTGTAATCCAGTAGGACCTATAATACACTTTAGACGCTGATGGAACCAGACTAGAGTGACTCTACAGTAGCCCCAAAAACACACACGGTGTGGACCCTGCATCCTCAGCACCTACATCATTTGCTCTACAGATCTGCTTCTATTGGGCCATGCTGTTTTCTAATATAGACGTAGCCAAAGCCCATCTTGCACCATTCATGAGCACAGACATCAAAGATATTCCCTGTGAGACCTCATCCTCAACACAGCTTTACCCAGCTCAAAAAAATCCTCTTCATATCAGCCTGTGTGCATTCTTTTACTAGCAGCAGTCTCATCATCTTTATTCATTTACCTTCTTTCACTGAGTGAACCTCGTGAATTTTTAGGACTCGCATAAAGGCGAACGACTGACAGAAGCCATCCGCTTGTTGAGCAGCACACAATTTTTCTCTAGCTCTGGATGTTTTGCTTATAGTACTGATTTGTGTGCATGTGCTAGTGTGTGTGTGTTTGACTGCATCTGTGGCCAGACACACAACTACCTCCCATTGTGTACATCTGTCAGACACATACTACAGTAACCATTATAGGAACACTGCTGAGCAACAACTCTTGTCATTAAGAGGTGCAAACCACAGTTCTGCGTTCAAAATATGCTCTAATGGAAAAGGCTTGTTTCAGGCTTTTTTCCACTTCCAAGCTCTGAAACAAAAATTTTTAAGGAAAATCTTCTCAAGTTTTTTTCTTCTAAAAGAAGAGTATTCAAGGTATCCAAACATCCCCCCCCTTTTTTTTAGCTTTTTCTTTTTTGACTTCTTACAGTGCTCTCCCTGCCTCCCTCTCTGTCTCCCATTCCACAGTTTGTTTTACCTTTTTCCTGATGATTTAGGTGGGGTGGGGTATTTCTTTGTATGCGTAAGATCTGCTTCCAATTTCCAATACTTTTCGTATATTTTTGTTGGGGGGGGTGGGGAGGTCTAACAAATTCTTCTTTCCTTGCTTCCCATTTATATATCCACATACAACACCACCTGCAGATCAGATTCTCCTCTACCCTAAGCAGCACGAGTGACACACAGGATTTGGTCAGCGATACTTTTCTGGTCAATTCACCAAGGACCATAACTGAGCGTTCTTTGCCTTAACTGTAACATATTCCTAGTTCTATGGTTTTGATGGGAACCCATCGTACACCCACACAGAAATGTACTACACTGTTTCTCGAGCAGTCATCATCCATTGCTGTTTAAAATCACCCATTCCCCTTTCTAAACACATTTACAGCTGGTAACCCCAAAATCTCACTTTTTTTTTTTTTTTGAAAGTAAGTATAACATTGCAACCTGTATCTCACATAGTTCCAATTATAGAAAAACATGCTCCAACATGTTCTCCAACAGGTTTGAATGAAGATAGCTTGAAAAAGAGCACAAAACCCACCAAGCCCCTTAGTCACTCTCACCAGAGGTGTCTGCAGTTAACTTGACTTAGTTTGGAGACTGTGGGTGGGTTTCAGGTGCCTAAATATGTCATTTTGGATGTTCAATTGGCCTCTAGCTGCTGTTCCAGAAAGGCATTGGTCTAACTTAAGTCCCATGTCCTATCTGCCAGACCCACATAGATACCTTGGATACCATAGGGTGCCTGAAATGGTCCTTTATATTAACGCTCACGTAATTGAACAACCAAACAGCAGGCAGCCAAATCAAATTGCTCCTGCTTCTTGCAGAAGTTTCCAGGCCTCTGCTCATCTACCAAGGGTAGGCTGGCTGGATAGGGTACACCACTTTTCAGAGGCACTCCTACACCCAACTTCTAAATGGGAAGGTGATATGTGCTGATGAACAACTCAGGAGGGAATGATCTCCAGCTGGGAGACAACCTTCATTTCCCAGAGGTCTTCTCCAGCTTCTCTCCTTCAAAGAACCAATGGGCTCCCTATAAAGATCATGAATACCTAAAGGGGGTTCCCTGGAACAAAGACCCCTGTCTCTGCAGTCTGTCTGCAGGACCACCCTTTGGAGGCCCAGAACCCTCATTCTTGTTTCCGCTTGAAAACAAACTCTATTTCAGATGAAACATGCAGGGTTCATAAAATAACCTTCAGTGATTAGGACTGGACTGTGCAACAGGAAAATAAAGGACTTGTTTGAGAGTAGAAGGTTTAAAAGACCAACAGCTGCGGTATATTTAAATTATTTCTTCCCCCAAAAAGTACTGCAAGCAGAAACACTCAAAAGTACTGAAAAATAGATGAATCTGTATAACTCCTTAATTATTGAGCTCATTTTTAATAATTAACTAAGCTCAGATTGGAAAAAAAACACATCTTGAGATCTAAAGCAGAAGTGACTTCATGTTAAAGGGACAGGACAGAGCTTTTAGGCTTGAAATGCTATTGCAGGCAAAGTAAGAGTTGAACATTTTACTTAACAGAAAATTACAGAAAACACCCTTAAATGCTGAGCAGAGCAGAACCATGTTGTCAAATGGCAACCCAGAAATGCAAGGGACTTGAAAACAAATTCCAAAGTGAATTAATCACAAATCATAACATAAGGAACACCTTGGCCCCAGGACCCTGGTTTATGCTTCCTGTTGGAAGCACGATGTGAAGATGCAGTCATGTATAGACCTGGCAAAATTATTAAGAACAAGGCAATTCTGATGTGTACAATGCCACTCTCTTTTTTATGTCAAGAAGAGAAGACAAAAAATAATATAAATTTAATTTTTTACAGCCCCTACCACAAAACATTTTCTAAATCTATGTAGGGTGCTATATGACCTCACTAACTGGTTTCGCCTAGTCCTAAGTGGTTCAACCAGAGATGAGAATTTAACCTTTACAGAAATGTCTCAGAATCACACCAAAACTCAGCAAACTCAGCAAGGTATGTCAGGGCACGCTTATTTCCAGGGTTACAAGAAAGTCTGTCTACAGTAGGCAAAGTGTGGACTGTACTGAGTGTTGTAGGTTTAGATAAATTAGGTCATTATTTACAATCTTCAGATTACAAAGGACATGAATATTATTTCCTCTTCTAGGTGTACATTGGGTGCCTCAATGGGTGTTGAAAATTTAAACTGGGTGTTGGATAGCTATCTCTGATCACCCAGCTTTGAAAGCAGAAGCTGCTACATTTGGAAACACTGAAATAGAGGGTTTGAAAAAAAAAATGACTACAGGGTAGGGAGAGGTAAGCTAATTAATTAGGAGACAAGTCCTATAGTTGTTGGGAATAATAGGCTCTTGAGGAGCCTACACACTCCAAATAACCTTCTGGAGGAGCTTCTCTGTCCCACTACAGGCACAGGAGAGTTGTCTCCTAATTCAGGCAAGGGGATTGCCCCAAAGTGACTCAGAAGCACTTCAGTGGCCAAGGAGCCTTGGAAACTCCAGCTGCCCTGACCAGTGGCTGCCCCTACAAAGCTACATATTTCCTGGGGCCTGAAGGGACACACGGACCTGTGCTCTCCTGATCACTGATTCCCTCCTCTCGTTTATAACCCTAAGCATATGTCCAGCTTTTCCGCCAGCCTCTCAGCACTCAAGAGAAGAAAGGGAGAGAGGGAGAGACGAAAAAGCAGTGGTATTGAGTGGTAAAAAGCTGAGAAAGGCGGCTCTAGATCCCACTCCTCATCCCAGTGGGAAATTTTGCTTCAGACAAAACAACTCCTTTAAAGTATCTGTTTGTCAGACCAGACAGTTATGAAGTGTTGAAGTGTTCATTTTACCCATTCCTTGTACATTTATGAAAAAAATCACCTCCTGCCCACTGCCTTAAAATGTCTTCCAGTTTCCACCAGAAGAGAAACTTGGATTGATACTGGTCACCAAAGGAGGAGCACAGTTTGTCATCTGTTATTTGTATTAAAGTAAGGCCCACTGTGCTAGATACTCCGAACATGCAGATAGCTAGGGCCAAACATAATGGGAGCCTCTCCACCGGGTTTAGACAAGTCCTACCACAGCACTCATTGACCTGAGGAGCCTATGACTGGGTGCTTCACTCCATGCAAACATGGGTGAGGCCCCCACAAGACAAAGTTATTAATCTCACTATGCACAAAGGAAGGTGCAGAGAAGATGCAGAAGGGTTAAGTGGTTTTTTTGGGGTTACACAAGTGTCTGCGATAAAGCTGGGAAGTGAGTTTCCTCTGAGCCAGCCCAGTTTCTCAAAAATGAAGCCTCTCATTCCAGCTAGGAATAATTTAACATATCTAAAAAACAACATTTAGACTCCTGTTAACATTTTCAGTTACTACTCACTCTTCAGATGAGCTCCAGAGGCAGGTGGCTGAATTGCTTCTACATTAACATCTTGTACCATTTAACAAAAAGGGGAAACTGAGTCAGTTCAAATAGATAAACTGAAAAGCGACTAGTTTGCCCTGGTCTGAGAAGCAGATCAAAACCAAAACAGGAGGTCAGAGCCCCCAAAGTCAACTCCAACTCTCTGCCAGGACACCGTGAGATGTTGATACAGCAGTTACCTTGTGTTACTTATCTCCCATTCTCCAGGGGATAACTTTCCAGACAACACATCTCCTTTGAACCAAGAGTGTCCCATTAAATTCCAGCCTTTTTTCAGTCTCCAACAGCCACTGCCTGCACACTCTTCTTCCTGTTGATCCACCGCTTATTTCTCTTCAGCTTCTTATAGCTCCTGTCCTTCACCTGTCCCAATCTCTTCCACAGGATGATTCCAGTCAACACATAAATCTCACAGCCTTGCCCTTTCTGCTGTCGTTCCTTCAAACCTGTTCCCTTCCTCCTTTCTGTGTCTTAGTCAGATGCCACATCTCTTCCTCCTGTAGCTTCAGGAATCTATGGGGCATAGGCAGAGAAAACTGACTGATCAACCAGTTCTCCAGTTGATTTGTGAAGTCTTGTGGCTTGAGCAGACAACCTTAGAAAGTGTGATCTTTTTCAGCCTGCTTTGCCTAAGCTCTCAATGCTTCCATCCACAGATTCAGCCTCCATGTCTCTTTTTACGTTTCCAGGTCTTCCTGTCAGGTTCTGCTGCATAGGTCCCACTTCATGGTCTGCCGCCTTCTAAGTCTTCCCTCAATCTGTATTTTTTGTGTCTATCATTTTCTTCTGGAGAACGTTCCTTTGGACTCCTGGCTTCTCCTCTTCAATGTCAGCCAAGGCCACTGATACCTCTTCTTTCTTCCAGCCAAGCTGTACTTTGGGTGCTGTGTTCCAAGACTGAGTGAGGTTCAGTCATCTGGTCATATACACCTTCAAGTTTCTCCCTATGACTTTCTCAATTTCCACCTCTGCTTCTCCTCCTTTTCTCCAACTCTCTTTCCAACCCACAGGCTGTCTTGGGGTCAGTCTGTATTTGAACAAAACTTGTCCTCACCTCTTCTAAGCATTTGTGATCAG